AGTGAGTTTTATCAGGCACCCGGAAGGATGCCCGTCTTTCTCTTTCACAGAATAAAGGAGGAGGGAACGAACACTTTTCAACCTATATTATGCGGTCAACAGTGTATTCGTCTTGATATATTTCAGGCAGAAGCCTTCGAAGGAAAAAGACAATCTACAGAAACAAACATTCACAGAAGCATGAACAGAAACAAATGTTTTCAACATTAACTCATCGAATTATGTTCTGTGTAAAAGGGTAATGCATCGTCATGAATGATGATGGTTTATCTCAGCCATGCACTGTTGAGTCAACATTAGAAAACTAAACATGTTGATTCCCATGTATTTAACAGTGAAAGGGGGAAAGAGACATGATTATCTCAATAAAGAGAGGAAAAGCATTTGACAAAATTTCACACTAATTCATAATAAAAACTTGCAGCAAACTAAGTGGAAAGGAGCTTCTTAGGCTTGATAAAGGGCATCTATTTCTTAAAAATTCAACAGCTAATTTTACACTTTATTAGGAAAGACTGCCTAATAAAGTGTACTTGTTGCTATGCCTGAACCTCAGGAGCAGGGCAGGGACATCTGTGCTCACCACTCTAGTTAGCACTGTGCTGCGGCACTCACTGATCCTGAAGGAGATGGACACTTGTTCTTCCTCTGCAGTGAACAGCCACCGTCTTTGAAAGCACACTAGTAAGAGAATGAAAGGCAAGCCCCATAGTAGGGAAGGTGCTCTCAATGCATGTGCCCGGCACAGGGCTGACTCCTGTCCCAATTACAGAGAGAACTGGGACTGCTCAACAAGAACAGACCGGTCAGTGCAGTGGGCAGAAGGCCTGCAGAGCGCTTTACGCGGGGTTCGGGAATGGCTCTTAAGCCCCCGATGAGATACTCCACACCGCCAGCTGTTAGACAAACGCAAACGCATCACCATGCGATGCCCCTTTGCGTTGCAAAGGTGGGTCATACCAGGTGCTAGCGTGTCTGAGGGGCCTCGTGCCTGATGGGAGCCTGGCCCAAGCGTGGTCACACCCACCCTACTTCAGTGCGAGGACCCTGCTGACCTTGTTCTCGTGTGTTGGTTTGGAGGAGCCTTGTCAGGAACATGTTTACCCAGTGCTGGTTAGGCACGACATCTGCGTGGGAGAGCCGGTCCTGCGTGGTGGTGTGCTCTCGCCTTGCTTTAGGGCTTTCTTCATTGTTGTTAATTTACCTTTCAATGGGAGAACAGCCAGAATAACTGAGGCTCTGTTTTCTCTCCACCTAACACATTTTTCCAAAAAGCTTAGATGTTAGGGGTGGGCCGGCACACTTCGCAGTGTCTTGTCTGAGGTTACTGGGTGGGAGAGAACAGTTAGCAAATCAAGTAGCTGTCCCACTGCTTATTCTTTACTTCCAGAGGTGAAATGTAAGTTGGCTTAAGCTGGTCAGGGTGTCTGGCTGCGGCGTCGACGGGGTTTGGCTCCTTCATACCAGTTACAACCTGTGACTCGTTTATTACGGGTCTCGAATCAGTTCCCAACATGTTGGATTAAAAAAACTTCCTTTTTTATGAAGTGAGAACAGAAAAAAACCTGTTAATTTCCTAATTGTTCTCCCTGGCCCCAGATGGGAGCTCCGCACAGGCAGCTGCTGTGGCGAACTTGAGCTTGGTAGTAACAGCTGTGCTGTCTGTCACTCCTGAAGGTGTTCCATCCGTGTGCTCTTCTTCTAGTGGCCTACCCTGTGTTCATTCTCAAGTGTATAATGATCTGTCTGCCATAGGTCGCTTATGTCGTAAACATTTAATGAGCTCATGTAAAAATTTGTGTCATTTCAGAATTCATTGCTGTGAGTGAGAAATGTTTAAGTGAGGAAGCCCAGCCCAGTTTGGCCACAACTCTGTTGTAGCTGTCACTCACTGCCTGCCTGAATTTCGGTTCTTAGCACGTGACTTTATTTCTCTCAAAGAACATCTTAGCCACTTAGCACATACGAGAATTCTCTCTCCTCTGGAAAGTGTGTTATTTCTCTTGCATTGAATAATAAAGGTCCTGACTCCTTACCCGTCCAAAAAACAAAACAAAAAAATGGTTTTTGAAAATACGTTTACAGTTTTGCCTAACACAGATCTGAGCTGCATGCTCAGCTGGGTGGTAGCCATCCTGCAATCCTAGCCTTCAGGGGCTTCCACTGACCTTGCTGTGGCCAGTGAGTGTCCAGTGAACAGCTGGGACCTCACTGACGTTGCTGTCACTCCCACTGCTGTCACTGAGAAGTCACTGTGTGCCAGCCACACATTCTCATTCATTCCATCCTTGGTCCCCCTGAGAATTGGTCCCCATCATCTCCACTTTACAGATGAGGACACTATGTCTTAGAAGTTTGGGGACCTGCCCAGAGCCGTGTGACTCAGAAGGGCCGTCCGACCAGGCTTTGACCCCGAGCCTGGCTTCGCAGGGCTGGGGCCTGTCTCTCCTCGGCCCTGCCTCCCAGGCCTCGAACCTCTGGCGCCCTTCTCGCCTGCCTTTAGCAGTCGCTGCCCAGCAGCCAGAGAGCTGGTCTCTCCCATGGGACCTGGTGTGCGACACAGTCCGTCTTACACTGCAGTGGTCATGGCTACTAGGGGCAGGTGTTCTTTAGGAAAAGCAAACTGTATCTTGAATTTATGCTAACATTTCTAATGTAAATTCATTTTTTATGCTGCAAGTATTGGTTCTTAATGATTAATCACCCATTTGCTGTAAACTAAACACGTACGCAGTGGGTCAGAACAGCAGTACACCCAGAGTCGTCACGCCCAGAAGGCCGGCGGGTCCTCAGGTCCCCGTGCAGTTCTCCACGCTCAGGACGCACACACCTCCCTGGAGACGTGGAGCCAGAACACTGGGTCATTCCCACGAAATGAGTTTGTTCTGTTTCACGTGCCATCAGATTAATTTGTTCCTGTTTTTGTAACTTTATAGATTTAATTTGTAAAGACTCTGCAACATACACACAGGATTCCAGAGTCAGAACTGTACGGCCTGGCACGTGCACAGAGGTCCGGTCTCTGTTCCTGTGTCTTTGCCTCACTTGCCCTCCGGAGGACCACCACTGGTTTTTGCTCAACCCTTTATTGTGTCCTTTTGGACTATAGGAGAATCTGTGGTTCTGCCCCTTTCTCCCCCAGAGGTTCATGTACGAGCACTTTGCTCTTCTCACTCGCCCCTGCAGCCTGGCCGTCCCTCTGCAGCGCCCGCTAGCGAGCTTCCCCCTTGGCGTTCGCAGCTACAGAGACGGCTTCTGCGTTCATGCCACGGCCTCCTCACTGGTCTGTGCTGGTGCCCGCTGACTTGTTTGCACGGTCTGTGCTGTTACTGACATTGCCAGCGTTCACACTCACTCGTTAGTCTTCAGAGCCTGCTGACCCAGGCCACAGTGCCTTGCCCTTCTCACCCGCAGGGGTGGCCACACCGAGACACAGGCCACGGTAGGCATCAGTGAGGGCATGGGGAGGTCGGTCGGGGCCCTCGTGCGTTGCTGGTGGAACTTCAAGTGGCATGGCCAGTTGAAAAACCATCTGACAGTTCCTCAGATCCTCAAGATATTGAATATGGAGTTACCTAAAAGCCAAGTAATTATACTACTACTAGGTATGCAGCCGAGAGAATTCGGTACACGTGTCTGCTCAGAAACATGTGCACAGTTGTTCATAGTAACATCAGCATAATAGCCAATCAGCTGGAATAACTCACATGTCTATAACCTGCCGAACGGGTAAGGAAAGGTGGTATATCCAGACAGTGGGGTATGACGCAGCCATAAAGAGGAGCGGAGCACAGACACCAGCTGCGGCACGGTGACCTTGGGAACCGCTGTGCCCCAGGAAGGGAGCCTGGCACAAAAGGCCCCATGTGGTGTGATTCCGTTCGTGCGCAGCCTCCCGAGCGGGCAGGGCCCTGGGGACAGACAGTGGTTGACGGTTGCCGAGGACCAGAGGGAGAGTGACTGCCAGTGTGCGCAGGGATTCTTCTCGGGGGTGAAAATGTTCTAAAGTCAGATGGTGCCGACGATTGCACAGCTTCGTGAGTGCACCAGAACCCACTGAATGAAGAGGGTGGGTTGTATGGCCCGAGAACTACAATTGCAATAAAACTGTTATGAAAGTGTAAATTGTGCTACAGTGAATCACCTTGTGCAAACGTAGTTTGACGTGACTGTGTATTTGCTCTGCAGTCCTAGAAATGGGGTCACTGGGTCAAAAGAGTCAATGGCACGTGGTTTGGCCGCATCCTGCCCGGGTCTCCTCCTTGGGCACTCCATTCAGCATTCACCCCAGCAGTGAACTTGGGTGCCATCTCCCTGTCCCCCCCCCCTTCCGCAGAGTATGGTCGCACAGCGTCTGCCGCTCCAACCACGGAGGACGGTCTCCCCGGGGGATGGTGGTTCGTCTACTTGTCCTGTGGTCTTTATGGTTCCCCTGCATTTCTCTTTGTGTCTTTGCTTTCTGTGTCTTGCTCCTGCGTTCTCGTATTCCACCCATTTTTCTATTGTATTGTTGGTCTTTTCTCAATTTGTAGTTCTTTTTTTTTATGTTAAAATATTAACCCTTTGCCTGTGATATCTTATAAATCATGTTTCCAGTTTTCATTTGCCTTTTTAAAAACTCTGGTGAAACGTGTTCCTTATTGCTTCTGAGCTTTGAATCGTAGTTAGAAAAGCTCTCCTGTTCCTGGCCAAGAACGGTTCACTCACCAGCACTAGGAAACTGTGTCAACTCAGGTTCATTTGGAGTTTGGCCTGGAGAACAATGTCAGAAGCAGACCTGCTTTTATCCTTGTTTGTGTGGCTACCCAGTTGCCCAAGTGTTTTTGAGGAAGAGGGGAAAGGAAAAGTATTACTTTCTGTTTATGTGTCTGTTGTTAAATGCTTCTGGTTGATCATTGCACGAACAGTATAGCAATGAGTAAGGAACTAAGGGAGGAGAAGCAAACCGCCACACCCTCCCCAGGTGCTGCCGTGTCTGAACGTGTCCTCCCTCCCTGCAGGTCGGCGAGCTGGACGGCATCCCCCTGATCCTGGACAGCTGCAGCCTGGACGACAACAACCCCTGTATCCTTGCGTGTGAGCCACAGGCGGCAGTCCCTGGCCCCTCTTCTGGCCTCTGTGCTGCCTGGCTGGCCAGCTTCCTGGTTGGCTTGCCCCTCAGAACGGGGCCACGTGCTCAGGTTGTGGCTGGATGACCGCTGTGCGGCGTGGCAGGCTGGAATTTTCAAGGTGAATGGGATGCTCCAGGGAGAACCGCTGTGGTAGCACCAGACTCTCGTTGTTAATGGGCCTGTCCTGGGCCCCTCTGTGACAGAAGTGGGGGGCTGTGGCTCTTGTCCTCACCCAGGCTGAAGCAAGCCACCTGTAGTCTTGGGTCCTGGGGTCCGACAGGCACTCGTTCACCCAGGAGCCGCACAGCGTGCTGTGGTTTGAGAGACTGATATTGGGACCTTCCCCGGTGAGAGCCAAGCCCAGCCCAGTCCTTGCCCTGCTGCCTATGGGGGAAGGGGGTGGGCAGGTGAGGCCAGCGGTGGGACATTGAGAGTGGAGCCTGTGGGAACATTGAGAGGAGCGCAGCCCAGGAGAGAGGACACGTAGGTGGGGTGTGGAGGGGTGCATATGGAAATAAAATCCCTCTCACTGGCTTTGTCAAGAGCAGAAAAGGTGCTGATGGCAATCAAGTGTTTCAAGTAAGTAGGTCAGAAATGCTTATTTGTGCCAAAGACACTGTTACTTGTTTGATTAGTGATGGGAAGTATTTCTCAGAGAACACGAAGCCCGTCAGCCTATCAGGGACGGACAGGTCCTCTCCTGGAAGCCTCTCCTTCCAGGTGAGACAAAGCTGGTGCGGTGTGGCACAGTGCCATTGGACTGGGCTCTGGTGGAGCTCTGGAAGTCTTTAGCTCCAAAAATGAAAGGGAAGGAGGAAAAGAGAAAGCTGCCCGTCACAGGCGAGCGTGAAAGAGTGTCCAGGTGCAGGTACAGATGTCGATTTCCTGATGAGGAGGGTGATTTATCACGGAAAGAGGAGCCCGCCCAGTTCACTTTGTGTGCCCTGCACACCTGCTGGAGAGAGGCTCGTCTCACCGGCCTGTGGCGTGTAGCCGAGCCCGGGCCTTGGACGTTGTCGCACACAGCACCCCAGTCTCCCACCGCCTCAGCCCCGCTGCCTCAGGCCGTCCTCTGTCCCAGTGCTCCTGCGGAAGCCTCGGCGAGCCTGTCCTGTGTGTCTGCACACACTGCCGTCTTCCTCCCTGGCACACCACGAGGTCCCCACAGGTGTCATCGTTCTCCCCAGGGAGGAGATGAGCAAATGCACGGTCTCGGCAACTTGCCCCGAAGTACAGACCCAGCATCTAAGTGCGGCAGGCGCCTGGTTCTGGGTCACGTGCTTACACTGCCCGCTCACCAGTCGTGGGAAGGGGACAGAACCCGTTCAGAGAAGCCATGGTAACTTGTTCCCAGATGCTCTCTGGGCCCACAGAATGACAGGCAGTCCTGTGGGGAGGCTACTGCCACCATCCAGGCAGAAGTGACCTGGCCGGAGCTGGGCTGGGAGCCCCGCAGGGGTGAGGCGGAGTTGCATTCTGGGTGTGCTCGAGGCTTTAACCGCCATCTCCACCCCTGTGGCTCCCACACCTAAACCAGACAGACTCTGAGTTTCAGACGTAGTCTAACAGCCCACTGAACATCTTGTCTGTCGTGCCCGCATTCCAAACCCAGCACATCCAGAGTTAAACTGTCGCTGCTATTCTTCGAGAATGGGTGCTGGTCACCGTCCATGTGGGTGCTGGGGCAGGAGCCCGGGAGTCACAGTGAGGCTGTTTCCGTCAGGTAGAAGGGTGGACACCCAGATGGGGGACACCCAGCAGCACGGCAGAGTGCGCCCGCGCTTGTGGCCATGATGTTGGCAGACCTGCCAACAGAGGTTGGCCAGAGGTTCTGAGCCAGAAGTTGTCTCTCCCGTGAGTTATTTGAATCTTTTGTGAAGTAACTAAGCTTGGCTTGGCAATGATACCAGTTCAAATTTGCTTTCTAACCTCTTTGAATAATTAACACCAGCCAAGCTTTTACTGAACTTTAATTTCAGTATTTTGAGTTAAAAAGCAAGAGATACTTTGGATGTGCTTCGATAGGGGTAGTTCTGATGTTAAATATCAGTTAATAAAATACACCCGCTCTCTGGGTCTCTGGGTCGACTGGCTGAGCCCGTGACTCAGCTGCACTGGGCGGGGGTGAGGGCCTGCGTGCCTTTGGACAGCAGTCCCGGGCCCCCCAGAAACCTCTGTTTGGGGCCCTGCAGGAGATCTTTGCTTTCTTTTCTTGGCTGCCCTCGGGGGTTAGCTGCTCCAGGCTGGCCGATCAGAGAAAACTTGTCCAGGAACGAGGCTGGAAGGCTCACTGCTGGCCCATTTCTGGAGGTGGATTCTAGAGGCGAGTGGCGATTTCCAGTTTCAGGGAAAACACGTCTCCTTCAGGGGATGGATGACTGGGAAGGCCCGTCTGGGGCTGCTGCTGCATCGGCCCCACAGGCCCAGCCAGCGCCCAGCTGTTCAGTCACCCGCGCACTTGCGGGTCACCCACAGTAATGACACAGTAGCAGACGCCATCGGAAAATTCCAGTTGCACTACCACAGAGTCAATTTCTTATTTGTCAGTTTATTGTGGCAAGTGGGATTTTTTGTTGTTGTTTCCAAATAGAAACAGCTGAACTTTATTTGAAATGTTTTTCTTTCATTCTTTTTTGATCTATGTTTTGTTCAGCTGTCCTTGATGTGGGTTTTTTAATGTTGTTTTTATTGGAGGAGGAGGGTACAGGGATAGAATGAGAGTCCAAACAGCGTTTGGTTTGGTTTTTTTTGTTCTTTCTTTTTTCCCCCTTCCTTTCATTCTTCTCTCTTTCTTTTCCTTTTTTTTTTTTTGTTTTTTTGTTTAGTATTGAGAGACCTCATTTGTACATTTCACATGCACAGAAATGTAGTCATTCATAGGAACAATAAGCAGTATTTTTCCTTGTAAACGTGTAGAGCATAGTATCAACAGCATCATCTCTGGGGCCAACAGTCCCAGGCTCTGCCACCTCTTACGAGTTTTAGCTTCTTTGTCCGTGGAATGGGACCTGCCCCACAGGGCTGTGGTGAACATAAACTGCCATTGTGTCGTGAATTGTCCGGCACTCGGGTTCTTAGCAAACAGATGTTCTCGTACAGAGATCCTGGTGCAGCCGCCAGTCCCTACGAGGAAGGTGCATTTTCAGCTCCGTCTGTACTATGAGTCAGTGTGAAAAGTCCAACAATAATAATGATGACAGGAGTATCAAAACAGAACAGGATTTCGAAACGGGTTCACACACACGCAAGCAGGCATCACTGCCATTTGGAGAGGAAGGATGGTCTTTCCCATAAATGGTCTTGGACCACTTCAAAATCCGTCACAGGGAAGGCGTACTACCCGCCTTGACCCCCTCACAAATGTTAATCAGGATGAATCACAGACCCCAACATGACAGGGGAAACCAACAAGCTTCTGTGAGGAATCGGAAGATGTGGCTTTTTTCTCAGGGTAGGCAAAAGTTTCTTAAATAAAACATAAACATTGTCACTGAAAGGCACCAACTAGAAGAGGGAAGACTTTGAGAAGATAATTGCATTCCATAAATCTGACAAAGGCCTCACACCCATGGTGTGTGTGTAAAGACTCCTTCAAAACAAGGGAGAGACACTTCCGCTTTCTGAAGTGGACAGAAGAGACGGGCCCTTCTGCAGGAGGTGCAGCTGCCGCAGACCCTCTGGGAGGGTTGGCAGCATCGTTCCTCCAGGACGTGCAGGCGTCCCCCACAGTGGGGGACCCACCAGCACGGCCAAGGGGAGGCTGACTGTGCCTGGCACGGCCTGGACTCAAGTACGTTTCTGGTGGGGATGTAAACTCGAATAATCCCTTTGGAAAACCGCATGGTGGCATCTGCCAACACTGAATGTACAGCTGCCCTGTGGGCCAGCAGACCTGTGGCCAGGTGTGTGCCCAAGAGGAGTGCCCACGTATGTCCATCTGGAGACATGCAAGGACATCCCCAGCACTGTGGCTAATTGCCCCAAAGCAGAAGCAACCTAAGTGGTCATCAGTAGAATAGATGGCTCATGGTGGCATGTGGAAGCAACCGAACGTTTCTCGGCAGGGCGGGTGGATAAGTGGAGGGGTGTTCACTCCAAGCAGCACTGCACAGCAGGAGAGCAGGGCCAGGGGCTCTGTGGGTGAGGCTCACGGACACCACACTGAGCCAGAGGGGCCAGATTCAAAGAGTATGTGCTGTGGGACCCGTTCGTATCAAGCTCAGGGGCAGGCAGACTTTGTGTGTGGTGACAGAAGTCAGGATAGCCATCGCCTTGGAGGAAGGAGGTGGCTGTCGACAGCAGCCCGTGGGGAGCTCGTGGGGGCTGGGCGTGCTCTGAGCTGGATGTGGATGGGGTTCTGTGGAGGGGTTCCATGAGCATGTGCGCAGAAGAAAACCCATCGGGGTGCACGTGCGGATGTGTGCGTGCCGTGGCTCTTCCTGTTAAGTCGTTAGAATTCATTTACCAAGTTACTTCCAGCCGTCAGGTCCTGTGCGGTGCCTGTCACACCCATCATTGTAACACCTCCCTTCGTTGGGAATGTTATTTCCATTGTACAGATGAGCAAAGTGCAGCTCCGAGAGTTGGCTCCCTGACTTGAGCTTCGTCCTCCCAGCCCGGGAGTGCCAGGGCCAGCGTGCAGCCAGGCTTGCCCGACCCCGAGCCTGTGCTTGGGTCCCAGCTCGGCTGATCAGACCTCCGTGCGGGCGCCTCGTGTGCTCCACGCAGTGTCTCCTTCAGTGTGCTTTCTGGGAGCATGTGCATGCAGCTGCATGGGTGCAAGGTCTTCACTTCACCCTGTTGAGCACCTCGCACCTCCTCCCCGCTTGGTCTCACCTTAGATAACGATCAGGGGAGGCCCCTAAACCCTGAGATGGTGGCCTTCTTGGAAGACAGGTGCCTCTCCTGTTGCCACTTCCGCCTCCCGTAAGACCTTAGTCGTGTGCTTTCCCA